ATAGCCATTCAAATCAATACACAGGGCTTCGGGTACGGAGTCTTTGGCCGCCGGTTCGGCCGTATGACTGAACCGCAGCTGTATTTGCGTTCGGGTTTTGATTAAGATATTCGACAAATAGCTGTCCGCAGAGAAAACTTCGGGAAAGTTGTCCACAAAGAGGCCGAATGTCTTTCGTACGCCACGATCGGAGATCGTGGGCAACACTTCCGTCTCGTGCAACCGCTTTACGAGCGTATACTTCTGTAAAGATGCGAACGCAAAGGCTGTGCCGACCTTTCGGACGCTTGTGTCCACCCGTGGCATCAGATTGGCGTCTAATCTCTTGGCGGTGACCGGCGATGAAGTGTTGGCGTCATTGATGGGTACTTTGGGCGGCGATGGCTCCGAGCGGTTCTCAATCAATGGTGAGTCCACGCGCTGTCCCGTCGACGACGGTTGAGGTGATGGCCGTTGCGGATGCTTTGGCTGAAGTGTTGGTCGTCGCTGTCGGTCGCCATTAACGCCATCTTAAAAACCAATTCAAATAAAACACAAAAAACGATTAAATGAATGAACGGATCAATTAAGATGTGGTTTATGTCAAACCAAATAACTTGTTGGCAATCCGGCGGTACTTCGGTTCGCCTTTCCTTTCAAATATCGAGCAAAAGATATGTGACATGTGTTGGACATCGATGTCGGGCGCGCCGATCAGCTGATGAACAAATGACAAGAGTTGTCCCTTTTTGTCGGTCTCATAGATCGTCCACTGGAACTCCTCTAAGATCTCTTTAAGCTCACATTGGGTCAAATGATGGAGCAGTTGATGCAGTAATGGACGCGCTGTCCGGGCGGCGGGTTTGCTGGCCATCGGTGGTCGTTTCGGTTGCATTGAAATGTATTGTGTGATAAGATTGGGAAAATGGTTACAATTGTTTGAATGTAATTACAGTTTAATGAATGTTAATGTTTTGAAATGGAATAAACAAAATCCAATTACATCTCGCGCTATAATTAGTTTTAATAAACTATAATAAGTAAATGTATTTAAAAATGTTAAACAATGTGTTACGAGAGATAATGAAGTTATGAAATTATGAAGTATTTATATTAAGTTTAGTTATCTATTTATAATGTATTTATAGAGAATTATAACAAAATTAAGTCAATTGTTATGAAATAGTGACGAACTTTTCATATAAAACATTACAATCATTGTCGCCGTCATTGCTATTAGAGATGCTGTCGTCGACCACATCGACCACCGAGTCGTCCATCAATTGTATCACTTGGCCGTCAAAACGACCGCCGATTACATAAGTGCCGTCACTCTTCACTCGGATAGTGGTTACAAAAGCGGGAGTTTTGGCTAAAATGTCCTGAAAATACGTGTCCACTCTTAGGGCGGATACGACGGCTGAGGCCTGACATATAGGGCATAACCACTCACAACGCCATTCATTCACAGAATATAAGGACTGGCCGTCAAAGCACTCGATGTGCTGACAGTCGACTGTCCGGCACGGGATCCGCAAACGGCGTTGGCTTACCTGTAAAACAATTTAAAAAAACAGTTTTAAAAAATTTTAAACGTTAAAAACATCGCAACATAAATATCGGACACATGAGTGACACTTGTGTAGAGTCATCCAATAGACTGATCCCGTCGTCACCGGAATTGTGGCCAATTTTGCGACGAATCAAAGCTTTGGTCGCATCGATGGTCAACCGGTGCCGCGAATCGGCGGTCAATAAAGCAATGAACGATTGGTCCGTCAGTTCCGTAACGATATTGATCTCAAAAAGGGTCGGCAATAGATATTCATTGTTCTTAGAGGACAGGAAGAACTGTATATCGTTACGACCCCATCGACACCATTGGCTTAAGTCGTACGGACGGCACCACTGCTGGTCAGCGGAATAGGTATAGACACGAGTGCCGTTCACATCAATACCCAGGGCTTCGGGTACGGAATCTTTGGCCGCCGGTTCGGCCGTATGTGTAAATCGGAGTTGAATTTGTTTCTGATTTTTGGCCAAAACTGTGGGCAAATTTGTGTCGACAGTAAAGCGTTTATCATTAAAGTCGTTCTCATTGACAAAGAATGTCTTCAAGACTCTGCGGTCGGAGATCGATGGCAACACTTCCGTCTCGTGCAACCGCTTGACGAGCGTAAACTTCTGCAACGGTCTGAACGCAAAGCCAGTGACCACTTCTTGACCGCTTATGTCCGGCGGTGGCGACAAATGAGTGTCCGATGTATTGATGGCGACCGGCGGTGAAGTGTTGACGCTATCAATGGGTACAGTGGGGGGCAATATCTGCGTGCGGTTCGCAATGAGTGGTGGATTCAGGCGTTGTTTCTTCTTCTTCTTCGATGGATGAGGTGTTGGCGGTCTCTGTCGGTCGCCATTAACACCACCTTAAAGACAGACAATGCGTCAAATGAATGGACGAATCAATAAAAAAAAATATGGTTAATGTTGTCATACCGTTGGCCACTGACCTCTTGGCCGTCCGGCGCTCCTTTCGGTTCGCTTTGCGCTTATCTATAGTTCGGATGACGTGTGACAAGTGTTTGACATCGATGTCGGGCGAGTTGATCAGCTGTTGGCACCGCGATAACAGCGCCGCCCTATTGTCCGCCGCGCTATACTTCCACCGGAACTCCGCTAACACTTCTTTGAGCTCACGTTTTGTGAAGTCGTCGATCAGCTGATGAAGTCGTTGACACTTGTCGGCCGCGGCGATGATTTTGGTGGCCATCGGTGGCGGTAGAGTAGGCGGTGGCGCCCCTGTGTTTACGGGTGGGTACTTATCAAACGCCCCCGACTTCAGCATCGCTGCCATTGTGGTGGCGGCCGACCCGGCGGTAGTGGTAGTGGGCATCGGTGGCGGCGCCGGTGGTGGTGGCGCTCCTGCGGTCAGATATGTCGACTGCCATAGTGTGTGTGTCTTGAGTAAGGATGACATCTTCCCGAAGATTGGATCCATTGTCCGACGGGTTGTGTTCAACGGATCACTTGTTTTGTTTCAAATGTTTTTGTTGTTGTTTTTGCGACAAAACGGTTGTCAATGCGAACGCCGTTCACAAACAACGTTACGTGAGTTTCAAACTAATGATTATTGTTTTGGCACTAATTGTGTATAAATTTTAATCAATTCAATGAATACTAATTGTGTATAAATGTTACAAATGTTTAACATTTAAATTTATAGTATAGATTTAAATAACAAAAATTACATCGTGCTCTATAATTAGGTTAATTAAATAATCACGAATCAACAATAATTAAACTAAACAAGGTTAATTATATAATAAATTTTATCACAGGATTTACAGTTAATTTATATCAATAAAAAATTTACTCAATTTATGTGATTGTAATGTATTTTTCATGAAAAATAACACAATCTTAGTCTTTATTATTATCACTGCTGGCCATCACTTCTTCATCCGTCTCCGAGTCGTCCATCAATTGAATCACTTGTCCGTCAAAACGGCCGCCGATTACATAACTGCCGCCATTTTTCACGCGAATAGTGGTCACAGACTCCGGTGTTTTGGCCAAAACTTTCTGAAAATAGGTGTCCACTCGAAGGGCGGATGTGTCGGCCGACGCCTGACATATGGGACACAACCACTCCGACCGCCATTCGTTGGCCGCGAAAAATGACTGGCCGTCGAAGCACTCGATGTGCTGACACGTGACTGTCCGGCACGGGATTCGCAGTCGGCGTTGACTTAACTGTTTAAACAAACAAACAAAAAAGTTAAAATCATTTGAAGCGCTAAAAACATTGGCCAATAAATACCGGACACATTAGTGAAACTTGTATGGAGTCATCCAATAGACTGATCCCGTCGTCACCGGCGTTGTGGCCAACTCTGCGGCCAATCAACACATTGGTCGCATTGGTTGTCAACCAGTTTTCCGAATCGCTGGTCAATAATGAAATGAACGATTGGGCCGTCAATTCCTTAACGATATTAACTTCAAAAAGTGTCGGTAAAATATATTCACTGTTTCGAGAGGAGAGACTGAACAACATGTGGTTAATACCCAATCGACACCATTGACTCAAGTCGTACGGCCGACACCACTGCTGGTCATCGGAATAGGTGTAGACACGGGTGCCGTTCAAATGAATACACAAGGCTTCGGGTACTGAGTCTTTGGCCGCCGGTTCGGCCGTATGACTGAACCGCAGCTGAATTTTCATCTGATTTTTGTACAAAATTGTGGCAAAATTTATGTCCGCAGGAAAATATTCGAAGAGTAGGAATGTCTTTAAGACTCCGCGATCGGAGATCGATGGCAACACTTCCGTCTCGAGCAACCGCTTTACGACCGTATACTTCGGCAACGGTCTGAACGCATAGGCGGTGACCATTTCCTGGTCGCTGGTGTCCGCGGGTGGCGACAAATCTGTGTCCGAAATATCGGCGGTGACCAAAGGCAGTGTCTCAATGGCATAATTGAAGAGTACAGTTGGGGACAATCTCTCCGAGAGATTCCCAATCGGTGATGATATCAAGCGTTCTCTCTTCGGCGACGGCGGCCGCAGTGGTTGTCCGCCATTAACGCCATCTTAAACACCAATTAAAGTAAAACAAAAATCTGTTAAATGAATGAACGGATCAATTGAAATGTGGTTAATGTTGTCATACCATTGTTGGCCGACTTCTTGGCCATCCGTCGGTCCTTACGGCGAACTTTGCGTTTATAAATAGATTGGATCACGTGATACACATGATAGACATCTGTGTCGGGCGAGTCGATGAGCTGTTGGACACGCGATAACATTGGCCGCCAAATGTCGCTCCCGGTGTACGTCCACTGGAACTCCTCTAAGACCTGTTTGAACTCACGTTTGGTGAAGCGAGTGATCAGTTGGTGTAAAGTCCCCAGACATGGGTACATGTAAAATGACTTATCCCTCAGCATCGCTGCCCACTTGCCTGAGCCCGGATCCGATGCTATTGTGTCCAACACCGGGTTTGATGTCCGCAACTGTTGTTTCAAATTTGCCGAGTCGTCTATCAATTGAATCACTTGTCCGCCAAAACGGTCACCGATTACATAATTGCCGTCATTTTTTACGCAAATAGTGGTCACAGACTTCGGTGTTTCGGCCAAAACGTTCTGAAAATAAGTGTCAACTCGAAGGGCGGATGTGTCGGCCGACGCGTGACATATGGGACACAACCACTCCGACCGCCATTCGTTGGCCGCGAAAAATGACTGGCCGTCGAAGCACTCGATGTGCTGACAGTCGACTGTCCGGCACGGGATTCTCAGTCGGCGTTGACTTAACTGTCAAACAAACAAAAAGCAATTAAAATCATTGGAAGCGATAAAAACTTCGGCCAATAAATACCGGACACATGAGTGACACTTGTATGGAATCATCCAATAGACTGATCCCGTCGTCACCTGAATGGTGGCCAAATTTTCGGCCAATCAACGCTTTAGTCTCGTCGGCGGTCAAGCGATGCCCGAAATCGGCGGTCAAATATTCGACAAACGATTGGTCCGTCAATTCCCTAACAATACTAACTTCGAAAAGTGTGGGCAAAACATATTCACTGTTTTTAGAGGAGAGACTGAACCACATGTCGTTAGAACCCAATCGACAGTATCGGCTCACGTCGAACGGCCGGCACCACTGCTGGTCATCGGAATAGGTGTAGATACGGGCGCCGTTCACCACAATACACAACGCTTCCGGTACGGAGTCTTTGGCCGCCGGTTCGGCCGTATGACTGAACCGCAGCTGTATTTGCATCCGATTTTTGGCCAAAATTTTCTTCAAATTTCTGTCCGCCGGCCAATATTTGCCCGCAAAGTCTTTCTCAAAGACTAGGAATGTCTTTCGAACGCCGCGATCAGAGATCGAGGGCAACACTTCCGTCTCGTGCAACCGCTTTACGATCGTATACTTCGGCAACGGTCTGAACGCATAGGCGGTGACCACTTCCTGGTCGCTGGTGGCCGCGGGTGGCAACAAATCTGTGTCCAACGTATCGTAAGGCAAAGGGAAAGGCAAAGGCCAGGAATCGGTGTCGTGATTATTGTGTACAATTGGGGGCGTTATCTCCGAGCGATTCCCAATCGGTGGTGATATCACGCGTTGTCTCTTCGCCGACGGCGGCCGCAGTCGTTGTCCGCCATTAACGCGATCTAAAACATCAATGAAAATAAAACAAAAGTCTGTTGAATGAATGAACGGATCAATTGAAATGTGGTTAATGTCATACAATTCTTGGCCGACTTCTTGGCCATCCGGCGGCGGTCCTTGCGGTGAGCTTTGCGTTTATGAATAGATGGGATCACGCGTGACAAGCGTTGGACATCGACGTCGGGCGAGTCGATCAGCTGTTGGACGCGCGATAACAGTAACCTCCAAATGTCGCTCTTGTTGTACGTCCAGTGGAACACCGTTAAGACCTCTTTGAGCTCACGTGTGGTGAAGCGAGTGATGAGTCTATGGAATCTCTTCAGAAGTAGATGTTTATTCTTCGACTTCTCCCACAGCGTCTCTGCCCTCACGCCTAAACCTGGATCCGATGCCATTGTGTCCAACACGGGGTGTGATGTCCGCCGCAAATGTTATTACAAACTATTATTAATTGTTAGTTTTGGTTGTATAGAAATGTACTGCAGATATACGCCCCCACTGTTCATACATAACGTGATGTAAATGTAAGGTAAGTTTAATTGCAGTTAATATTGAATTAGATTTAAGTTTATTTAAATAAAATTTAATGTTCTGATAATTAGCAACAAAAATACATGATAATTATTAATTAGTTTGCTTACATAATTATCAGTTTACAATTATTTTAACATTGATTAAAATTGTGAAAATTACTAAATGTTAATTATATTATGAATTTATAGTACGTTTAGTGTATTTACAATTAATTTATATCGACAACAAATTTACTCAATTTATGTGATTGTAATGTATTTCTCATAAAAAATAACTCAATCATTGTCTTCATTATTATCACTACTGACCATCACTTCTTCGTCCGTCTCCGAGTCGTCTAACAATTGAATCACTTGTCCGCCAAAACGGCCGCCGATTACGTAATTGCCGTCACTTTTGACGCGAATAGTGGTCACAAACGCCGGTGTTTTGACCAAAACGTTTTGCAAATAGGAGTCCACTCGAAGGGCGGATGTGTCGGCCGACGCCTGACATATGGGACACAACCACTCCGACCGCCATTCGTTGGCCGCGAAAAATGACTGGCCGTCGAAGCACTCGATGTGCTGACACGTGACTGTCCGGCACGGGATTCGCAGTCGGCGTTGACTTACCTTTAAAACAAAAAATCAATTAAAACCCATTTTAAATGTCACACACTTTTGCTCATAAATACCGGACACATGAGTGATACTTGTATTGAGTCCTCCAATACACTGATCCCGTCGTCACCCAAATTGTGGCCAAATTTTCGGCCAATCAACGATTTAGTGTCGTCGTCGGTCAAGCGGTGCCCGGAATCGGCGGTCAAATATTCAACAAACGATTGGTCCGTCAGTTCCTTAACGATACTGACCTCAAAAAGTGTCGGCAAAAAGTATCCATTGTTTTTGGAGAACAGAGAGAACTGGATGTCATTCAGACCGAGTCGACAGTATTGGCTCACGTCGTACGGCCGACACCATTGCTGGCCATCAGATGAGTGAGTGTAGACGCGGGTGTCGTTCACGTCAATACACAAGCCTTCGGGTACGGAGTCTTTGGCCGCCGGTTCGGCCGTACGACTGAACCGCAGCTGTATTTGCATCCGATTTTTGACCAGAATTTTCGACAAACTCTTGTCCGCCAAGAAGTATATGTCGGGAAAGTAGTCCTCATAGAGTGTGAATGACTTCCAGATCACGGCATCAGATATAGAGGTCAACACTCGCGGTCCGTATAACTGCCTTACGATCGTATACTTCGGTAAACGCGTGAACGCGCAGTCAGTGACCACTTCTTGGCTGCTATTGTCCGACAAATTCATGTCCGATGGACTGGCAATCGGCGACTGACAGACATTGATGGGGACAGTGGGCGGCGAGTGGTCCATAGTGTGCGGTCTCTTCGGCTGCGGTCCGCTGCCGTCGTCGCCATTAGAGTGCACTAAGAAAACCAATTCAAACAACGGGTTAAGTGAGTGGACGGACCAATTGATAGGGTGTTAGCGTTCGCACCACTGGCCGATGACCTCTTGCCTGATGGCAATACTTGACATTTGTCAGCCGCGGCGGTGATAGTGGCGGTCGGTCCCGGTGTCGGTCCCGGTGTCGGTCCCGGCGGTGCTGTCGTGTCGGTCATTGGCTGTTCATTGGCTGCGGTGTGACTGTCCGTACTGTTGGAACCGCTGGCCGTTGTCTCCATTGCCCGAAGACTGGATCCGATGGTAGTGTCCGACGGGTTTGCTGTCCAAAGACTATGTGTTTTCAATTAAAACTTTTAATTATAACTGTTTTTTATGAATGACTCAAACTTTGAGACGCATAGCGTTGTCATGTGTGACCCAACCGTTCGCATACAACGTTACGCACAAATTATTTGTAAATGTTTTATTTGTATTGAAATGAATTGTAAATATACGCCCCCACTGTTCATAGATAACGTGACGTGAATGTAAAGTAAGTTTAATTTGCATTCATTTAATTGCAGTTAATATTGAATTTAATTGAAGTTTATTAAAGTAAAATTGAATATTCTAAAAATTAGTAACAAAAAATTCTTTACATTGTTCACGATAATTATTTATTACTAATTAGTTTGCTTAAATAATCACCAGTTTACAATAATTTTAATATTGGTTAGAATTGTGAAAATTACTAAACATTTGTTAATTGTATCATTAATTTATAGTAATTTATAGTGTATTTACAGTTAATTTATATTAATAAAAAATTCACTCAATTTATGTGATTGTAATGTATTTTTCATGCAAAACAATACAATCGTTGTCATCACTATCACCAGTGCTGGCCATCACTTCTTCGTTGTTCAACAATTGTATCACTTGTCCGTCAAAACGACCGCAGATTACGTAATTGCCATCACTTTTCACGCGAATAGTGGTCACAGACTCTGAGGTTTCGACCAAAACAGTCTCAAAATAGGTGTCCACTCGGATGTGGGACGTGTCGGCCGGCGACTGACATATGGGACACAACCACTCCGACCGCAATTCATTGACTGCGAAAAATGACTGGCCGTCGAAGCACTCGATGTGCTGACACTTGACTGTCCGGCACGGGATCCGCAATCGGCGTCGACTTACCTGTAAAACAATAAAATCCGTTAAAAATGTTTTAAGTATCGCATCCTTTTTGCTCATAAATACCGGACACATGAGTGACACTTGTATTGAGTCCTCCAAAACACAGATCCCGTCGTCACCCAAATTGTGTCTAAATTTTCCGCGAATCAACGCTTTAGTCTCGTCGGCGGTCCACCGGTTCCCGGAATCGGCGATCAGATATTCGACAAACGATTGGTCCGTCTGTTCCGTAACGATACTGACCTCAAAAAGTGTGGTTAAGAGGTATTCACTTTTTGCGGTGGAGAGGAAGAAGTGGATGTTATTGAGACCCAATCGACAGTATTGGCTCACGTCGTACGGCCGACACCGTTGCTGTCCATCATCCGAGTGAGTGTAGACGCGGGTGTCGTTCACATCAATACACAAGCCTTCGGGTACGGAGTCTTCGGCCGCCGGTTCGGCCGTACGACTTAACCGGAGCTGTATTTGCATCTGATTTTTGGTTAAAATCTCCGTCAGATTGGAGTACATGTCGGGAAAGTATTCCACAGAGAGAGTGAAATACTTGCGGATCTCGCGATCCGATATAGAGGTCAACATTTGCGGTTCGCGTAACTGCTTTACGATCGTATACTTCGGCAAACGCCTGAAAGCGCAGTCAGTGACCACTTCTTGGCCGCTATTGTCCGACAGATTGGTGTCAAATCGATTGGCGATCGGCGACAGCGGCGGCGGACAGATAATGATAGGCGTGGGCGTCACTATCAACAAGCAGTTCCCACTCTGCGGTCTCTTCGGGTGTCCATTAGTGTGACCTAAAAAAGCGATACAAACACTGGGGTTAACCGAATGATCGGATCAATTGTTTGAGTTTTAGCGTCCAAACCATTATCTGATGACCTCTTCCTCGATAACCGCCGCCAGTTATTGCGTTCGTGTATATCATTGACCACAAGTGACAGGCGGTCGACATCGACGTCGCGCCCGTCGATCAGCTGTTGAACCCATGACAACACTATCCCCCTATTCTTCCCGCCGAGCCTCCAATGGAACTCCTTTAAGACCTCTTTGAGCTCGCGTTTAGTGAAATCGGCGATCAGCTGATGGAGTCGTTGATAATTGTCGGTCGCGGCGGGCGTTGTAGTGGTGGCGGACCCAGCGGTAGTGATGGTGTGGGCCATCGGTATCGGTCTTAGTGGCGGCAGCGGTGGTATTGTTGTGTCGGTCATTGACTGCGGTGTGACTGTTAGGAACCGTTGATACAAATCCGCCCGAAGACTGGATCCGATGGTAGTGTCGGACGGGTTTGGTGTCAAAAAACAATGTGTTTTGATTTCAATGTTTTTTTTATGAATGACTCAAACTTTGTGTCTCTCATAGACTTTGAATCAAAGCTCTGACATTTGTCGACCCATTCATAAACAACGTTACGCAGTTCGCAGATAACTTGACGTGAATGTAAGGTTTGTTTAATTTGGATTCATTTAATTGCAGTTAATATTCAATTAAATTGAAGTTTATTAAAATAAATGCTCTGAATATTAGTAACAAAAAATACATTATGCATGATAAATACTAATTAGTTTGCTTAAATAATCACCAGTTTACAATAATTGCAATATTGGTTAAAATTGTGAAAATTACTAAACATTTGTTAATTATATAATTAATTTATAATAATTTTTAGTGTATTTACAGTTAATCAGATAAATAGAAAGTTTACTTAATTTATGTGATTGTAATGTATTTTTCATGTAAAACAACACAATCGTTGTCTTCATTATTATCACTGCTGGCCATCACTTCTTCGTTGTTCAACAATTCAATCACTTGTCGGTCAAAACGGCCGCCGATTACGTAATTGCCATCACTTTTCACGCGAATAGTGGTCACAGACTCTGAGGTTTCGGTCAAAACTTTCTGAAAATAGGTGTCCACTCGAATGTCAGACGCGTCGGCCGACGCCTGACATATGGGGCACAACCACTCTGACCGCCATTCGTTGACCGCAAATAATGACTGGCCATCGAAGCACTCGATGTGCTGACACGTGACTGCCCGGCACGGGATCCGCAATCGGCGTTGACTTACCTTTAAAACAAAAAAATCAGTTAAAAAACATTTTAAACATAACACACTTTTTCCCATAAATACCGGACAAATGAGTGACACTTGTATTGAGTCCTCTAATACACAGATCCAGTCATCACCTGAATTGTGGCCACATTTTCGGCCAATCAACGCTTTAGTCTCATCGGCGGTCAACCGGTGCCCGGAATCGGCGGTCAAATATTCGACAAACGATTGGTCCGTCAGTTCCGTAACAATAAGTCATCACCTGAATTGTGGCCACATTTTCGGCCAATCAACGCTTTAGTCTCATCGGCGGTCAACCGGTGCCCGGAATCGGCGGTCAAATATTCGACAAACGATTGGTCCGTCAGTTCCGTAACGATACTGATCTCAAAAAGTGTGGGCAAAATGTATTTACTTTTTGCGGAGGAGAGGGAGAACTGGATGTGGTTTAGACCCAATCGACAGTATTGGCTCACGTCGTACGGCCGACACCATTGCTGGCCATCAGCCGTGTGTGTGTAGACACGAGTGCCGTTCATATCAATACACAGCGCTTCGGGTACGGAGTCTTTGGCCGCCGGTTCGGCCGTACGACTGAACCGCAGTTGTATTTGCATCTGATTTTTGGTCAAAATCTCCGTCAGATTCCAGTATATGTCGGGAAAGTAGTCCTCATAGAGAGTGAAATACTTGCGGATCACGCGATCCGATATAGTGGTCAACACTTCCGGTTCGTGTAAGTGCTTTACGATCGTATACTTCGGTAAACGCCTGAACGCGCAGTCAGTGACCACTTCTTGGCCGCTATTGTTCGACAAATGGGTGTCAACTGTATCGGCGATGGGCGACAGCGGCGGCGGACAGACAAAGATACGGCCAGTGGGTGTCAATATGACCGCGTGATTCCCACTATGCGGTGCGTTCGGTCTCTTCGGCTGTCCATAAGAGTGCCCTAAAAAAGGGATTCAAACAATGGGTTAACCGAATGGACGGATCAATTGTTTGGGTGATAGCGTTCAGACCACCCGCCGAAGACCTCTTCCCCGATGACCGCCGCCTGGCTTTGCGTTCGTGTATATCATTGACCACAAGTGACAGGCGGTCGACATTAATGTTGTGCCAATCGATCAGCTGATGAACCCGTGACAACACTCCCGCCTTATTCTTCCTGTGAGGCGTCCACCGGAACTCCTTTAGGACCTCTTTGAGCTCACATATAGTGAAGTTGTTGATCAGCTGATGGAGTCGTTGACACGTGTCGGCCGCGGCGGCGGAGGACCAGGTGGTGATAGTGGCCGTCGGTGTGGGTGTCTGTGGCGGCGGTGGTGTTGTTGTGTCGGTCATTGGCTGCTCATTGGCTGTGGTGTGACTGTCCGTACTCTTAGGAAGCGTTCGCTCCGTTGACTCAAACCCCCTGAAGACTGGATCCGATGGTAGTGTCGGACGAGTTTGTTGTCAACGACAGTGTGTTTTGATTTCACGTGTTTTTTATAAATGACTCAAACTTTGTCTCTCAAAGGCTGACGAGTCAATGCCCTAACATTTTCGACCCATTCATGAACAGCGTTACGTTTATAAATGTATTGTTTGTATAGAAATGTATTGCAAATATACGCCCCACTGTTCATAGATAACGTGACGTGAATGTAAGGTGAGTTTAATTTGCATTCATTTGATTGCAGTTAATATTTAATTAAATTTAAGTTTATTAAAATAAATACTCTGAATATTAGTAACAAAAAATACATTGTGCATGATAATTACTAGTTAGTTTGCTTAAATAATCATAAGTTGACAATATTTGTAATACTGGTTAAAATTGTAAAAATTACTAAACATTTGTTAATTATATCATTAATTAATAGTAATTTTTAGTGAATTTACAGTTATTTAATAGAAAATTTACTCAATTTATGTGATTGTAATGTATTTTTCATGTAAAACAATACAATCGTTGTCATCGCTATTACCACTGCTGGCCATCACTTCTTCGTCCATCAATTGCATCACTTGTCCGTCAAAACGTCCGCAGATTACGTAATTGCCGTCACTTTTGACACAAATAGTGGTCACAAACTCCGAGGTTTTGGCCAAAACTGCCTCAAAATAGGTGTCCACTCGGATGTGGGACGTGTCGGCCGGCGCCTGACATATGGGACACAACCACTCCGATCGCCATTCGTTGACTGCAAATACTGACTGACCGTCGAAGCACTCGATGTGCTGACACGTGACTGTCCGGCACGGGATTCGCAAACGGCGTTGACTTACCTTTAAAATAAAAAAATCCGTTAAAAAACATTTTAAATATCACACCCTTTTCCCTATAAATACCGGACACATGAGTGACACTTGTATTGAGTCCTCCAATAGTGATTAGGGCAGCAGTAGACTTAACACCGGTTTAAAAGCCAATTAATTGCGAAATCAGAGCAGCCGCCAGGTGGCCACGGGCCTTAGCCGCCAGTTTATAAGCTGTTTGCTAACCAGGCAGACAAGCGTAACGATACTGACCTCAAAAAGTGTCGGTAAAAGGTATTCACTTTTTGCGGAGGAGAGGAAGAACTCGATATTGTTGAGACCCAATCGACAGTATTGGCTCACGTCGTACGGCCGGCACCACACCTGACCTCCAGCCGAGTGAGTGTAGACGCGAATGTGGTTCACATCTATACACAGGGCTTCGGGTACGGAGTCTTTGGCCGCCGGTTCGGCCGTATGACTGAACCGCAGCTGAATTTGCATCTGATTTTTGGTCAAAATCTCCGTCAGATTCCAGTATATGTCGGGAAAGTAGTCCTCATAGAGTGTGAACGACTTGAGGAGTTTACGATCCGATATAGAACTCAACACTTGCGGTTCGTATAACTGCTTTACGATCGTATACTTCGGTAAACGCCTGAACGCGCAGTCAGTGACCACTTCTTGGCCGCTATTGTTCGGCAAATTCGTGTCAAATATATTGGGGATCGGCAACAGCGGCGGCGGACAGACAATGATAGGGACAGTGGGCGTCAATATCACCAAACGATTCTCTCTATGCCGTGCTTTCGGTCTCCTCTTCGGCTGTCCATTAGTGTGCCCTAAAAAAGCGATTCAAACAACGGGTTAACATCTAATGGACGGATCAATTGTTTGGGTGTTAGAGTCCAGACCATCGGCCGAAGACCTCTTCCCCAATGACAGCCGCATGACTTTGCGTTGGTGTACATCATTGACCACAAGTGACAGGCGGTCGACATCGGCGTCGCGCCCGACCATCAGCTGTAGAACCCGTAACAACACGTCTGCCCTTCTCTTCCCGCTGCGCGGCTTCTGGAACTGATACAAGACCTCTTTGAGCTCACGTCTAGTGAACTCGTCAATCAGCTGATGTAATCGTTGACACTTGTCGGCCTCGGCGGGCGTTGTGGCGGCGGCGGACCCGCTGGGGGCCATCGGTGTGGGTGTTTGTGGCGGCGGTGGTGTCGTTGTGTCGGTCATTGGCTGCTGTGGTGTGACTGTCAGTACTGTTGGGAAGCGTTCGCTCCGTTGACTCAAACCCC